TAAATTGTTAACATTTATCATTTGAATGAAATCCTAAACTAATTTCGCGGAGTGTTTACACCCAGAAAAGAAGTTTCTTCGAAATCAAACAAATTTTCTTAGAATTTCGACATCACTGGACTTTTATTTAATTTCAAAGAAATGACAATTCTTTAACTAATTTTTTTTTTATCACGAGTGGAATTTCTGAGAGAATCATCTATTTCTTCAAGTCTAGCAAATGTTTTAGTAGACGTAAATAAAAATGTTGTCGATTCAAAGAAAGATGTCAACGAATCTCATTTGTTTGACCTAAATAAATCTTTTTTTCCGGGTGTGTATTCTCAATGTACCTTTCTCCATTTGCGCAGAACCACGAAGAGAGGCGGGCGTACCGGTCCAGATTTTGTCTTACTTTCACGATACCCCCGCCCTTGAAAATGTATCGATTTCGCGGTCCAAAGTTCGCGGTGTCTCGCGACGCGGGTATTTTCAGCCTAACGCGGGGGGGCAGTGCGTCAGACGCACCACGCGTGGGCGTGCGTGTGATCTTAAGACGCGACACCATTTGCGGGGTACAAACTCCACCAGGCGTGTGTCCACTCCTGTTCCTGGTATCACTCGAATTCACGCCAAGTCGTGGGCAGCATTCCAAAGTGGGATAATACTGCGCTATGGGTTACCTACTCTATTTTCGTTCTTTTAGGTTTCTCCCGGAGTGACCTTAATGTCGCCAATGGCAGTGACCGAAGTCGGCGGATGTAGGCTCTCTCCAAATGCGCGGCACGCCTGCGACCTCGACCCAGTGCGAAGCGAAGGGCGCGCGCACGTGCCTTGAACGTGGATCCTATCTGCATACGAGTCCTTCGGCGGAGACGCGCGGTTGGACGTTCATCTGTCGTTAGCTCGGACGCCTTGGATGGAACTTTGATTCGCGCCATTCGCGTTAAAATTAGGCTGATGGCAGAGAATGATCCGTAACGTCTCTCTCATGTTTATTTCTACCACAGCAGATTGACTGTGACCTCAGTTTAATTTACTCTTTGTCTTTTCCTAGTTTCAGGAAGTGGAAGAAGATAGAAAGTAAGTTAAACCGGGATTAATCCGCATTGGTAGAAATGGGTACGACTCTGATTTTCACTAACGTTTGTTTAACTTGAATCTTACTTTAATCCGTCCTTTGTCTCTTTCTAACCGTCCCCTTAGAAAGAGACAAAGGAGGAATTAAACTAAGATCAAAGTTAAACGATGTTGGCGAAAACCGAGATTTGCCGTATAGACTAGGCAGAGAAAAGAACTTTCGTCGTGAAAGGCTATTGTATACGACTTAGCTTCTCCTCTGCCTTGCCTCACGTCTACGAAATATATGCACGGCTACACTAAAGCTGGAAACACATGAAAAAACTTCAGCAGTAAAACTTCAGACTTAATAAGTTCAACCAACGTCCAGCATCGCTTAAGTTTTAAATTGGCTGCTTACGCTCTAACTTCTCTTAAGTTTTAAATTTTACCTACGTCTTGCTTAAGTTTTTTTTTCAGTGCGTTCAGGTCTTAAGACAGACTTAGGCCCGGTTTCACCAACGTGAAACTCCGCTCGACTTTAAGCTTAGCTTAATCCGTTCTTTGTCTCTTTCCAATAACTCCAGAACGAGACAAACATGAATTGAGCTAAGATTAAAGTGAAGCAACGTTTGGTGAAACCGGGCCTTAAGAGTTCACGGGTCATTCTCTGCCGTCAGCCTTGAACCCGTATCGGACTACGGATTGATATTGAGATTGAAATTTGACCAATTTCAATCTAATCCCAATCTCAATCCGTAGTCTGATACGGGCTTTAAATGGATCCTCCGGTGCACGTGCAAACGGGCTTTCGGCGCACTCTCCGTGCAGGAAAAACGACAAACGCAGGTGCGGTAAGATGTTGACGCATCTGTATAATTGTCCGCCGATCGAGATTACGAGGCACATTCGACGCGCTCGCGTCAACAGAGGATAAAAGTTTTTCTCGAGAGTCTACGAGCTTCGTACACGTGGGGGCATTTTGTACAACACGGCAGTTTTCAATATACGTGTTCAAATCGCATGTTTCCGCTTGCTGTGTATTAATCATCCTCTTGCCGCTATACATTAATCAATAGAACACGTCAGAGATCAATAGACCGCGAGGGTGACGATGTGCACGTGGCATTTGTATTAAGTTCTAATAGACCGCGTCGGAGCACAGGATACATTTGGACACGTCTGCGACGTTTATTCGACGTTTACTGACGTCCGGCGACGTTTTCGGCGACCGCTTAGACAAACGCGACGTACTCGTGCATTGAGAGCAGGAAGTCGCAAGGTGAATGACCTCGGCGTAAACCTCACACTTTCCCCATGGCTCCAAAACACTTCTCTCCTCGTCAGCAAACTCTATACCTGCTATCGTGTTGAGACAAGAGACAGAGTCAGACGGACAAGTGGTTATACCATCTCTCTTCTCAGTTTTAATTGATGAACGATTTTTGATCTCACTTATACAGGGTGTCCCATTTTAACTTGGACAGTAAAATATCCCTTTCCAACTCTTAGAACTAGAAAAAGGTCGAAAGAAAGTTGAACCGAGATTAAAGTTGATCTACATTGATAGAAATGCACATAAATGTTGCCCTGTCCCTTCGAGAAATATCTCCGATTTTCAAATCGGCTTCTGCTGAGAGCTCGCTTTGTTCTTTTTTGTTAGCAACCGATTTTTATTCATCGACTTTATCTGTATTCTCGATATAAATCCGCTTGCGGACGCTTTTTTCTACGGTAACGACGCATCCTCGATCACGTGAATGTTTATGTCGCTATAAAATGTACAAATATCGCCGAGTGCTTCGCTGACGTGACGAAGAAAAGCGCGCTCGGAGAGAATTGCATCACGAGCGTGTTCGTTATCATTCCTTATCGACGAGAACCGCGCAATAAATCTCCTTTTGTGTAGGAAAAAAAAAGAGAAGAGAAAACGGACGACACACGTGCCCTCAGTCGCGAGATTCGAGGAGCCCAGTGTAAGAATGCGCGCGCCGAGACATCATGAATTTCTCATCGAATTCGCACGTGTGCCAGGCGTGCGTGCTACGGGAAGCGGAGTAGTATAGTATAATAACGTCGCTGTTATTTAACGCGTAAAATGCAGTGACGCACCACGTCGCGCGTCGCGAGACGCTCACCAAGGGGGCACCAAGGTCTCCGAGGGGGGCCGAAACGTAGAAACCATGCAAGGTCTCATTCGAGAAGATAGATAACGTTTCGACAATTGAACATCGGTATATTTCATTCCCGTCGTTTGAAAATAATATCACCGCTCGTTAGATTGAGCATTAGAAATTATATTTAAGAACATTCAACGTTGGGAATAATTTGCGGAAAGTCTTTTACATGTCGAGTGTCACGAACGTTTCGCTAAATTATCGAAGTTCGGGATACTTTATTCCCGTCGTGTGAAAATAATATCATCGCTCGTTAGATTGCGCATTAGAAATTATACTTGAGGATATTTAACGCGTAGAAAATAATTTGCGGAAAATCTTTTGCATGTCGAGTATCATGAATGTTTCGTTAAATTATCGAAAATTAAATACTTTATTCCCGTCGTTTGAAAAGAATATCACCGCTCGTTAGATTGCGCATTAGAAATTATACTTAAGGACATTTAATATAGAAAATAATTTGCGGAAAATCTTTTAGATGTCGAGTATCATGAATGTTTCGTTAAAATATTGAAAATTGAATACTTTATTCCCGTCGTTTAAAAATGATATCATCGCTCGTTAGATTGCGCATTAGAAATTATACTTAAGGACATTTAATATAGAAAATAATTTGCGGAAAATCTTTTGCATGTCGAGTGTCATGAATGTTTCCTTTAAATTGTCGAAAATTGAATACTTTATTCCCGTCGTTTGAAAATAATATCACCGCTCGTTAGATTGCGCATTAGAAATTATACTCAAGGACAATTAGCGTAGAAAATAATTTGCGAAAAGTCTGCTGTATATCGAGCGCCGTGAGTCGCACGTACATTCTTATATTTATCTCAAAGAAAGGGAGACCAACTAAATAACTCGATCGTGTATACTTCCATTTTCGACTTCGTACTCGTGGATAATGCGACCTTAGACAAAATGATTAGCAGCCTCATAATCATTATACCGTATTGAATTTAACACCAGCAAGATGTTTCTTGTTCAAAAGTCGTTTGCTGCGCAAAAGCAACGAATCCAGTCAACAAATTTTTAACAACAGAAATCTTCCTGGTACATACAATATAATTGCGAGAGTGTTTAATAATTTTCCAAGGCTGTAATGCTGCAACAAACGCGAGGCTTGTTTTACTCCAATTATCGCGGTATCGTTTAACATATCATATATTATTATGCAACTTAGCATCGTGCAAGGTTGCAGCGTAAACCCGCGAGAGAAAGCTGTCGGGTCGCGATTGTTTCATCCACGAAAATTGCGAGTGAGCGCCCATGCGGCGCCAAAGCTTTCAGAAACATTTCAGAAAACACTGTTGCAATGTTGCAATGTTTCTGAAAGCTTCGGTGCTGCATGGGCGAAAAATTAAGTAATAGCTTCATCGTTCAACCTGCTCCCACGGACCAGAAACGTGGGCCAATACGCGCGGCACCGCGCCGAGAAGCGCGTGCTCGATTTCCGGCGCGATATATAGAAATCCGAGGTGTATTCCGAGCGGAATGATTCGCCGCTGAGGAGAGTGAACCGGCGCGCGGAGCACCGCTGCCGAAAGCGCAGCGGGCCGCGTCGCGTCGGCCGTAACGACTCGCGGAGGCATTAACTCTCAAGCCCCGTCAATCGCGCTTGATCGACGTAACGAGCGACGCGCGGCCGGCCGAACCGTAACGCGCGATTAAAGAAAGAAGAAGAAAAACGCCACGGCACGCGACGCGAGGCTCCGCAGGCTTCGAAGCCTCGCGGCTCGCACGCTCGCCGTCGCGGAGGCGGCGGGGTCGCGGGCAAGGGCGAGGACTCACCGAAATCGATGAACTGTTTTATCGAGAGCGGCGAGGGGTTGAATTGCGAGTAGAAGTCCAACATCTTGCCGATGTTGTTGAGGCAGTTCCGTGTGAGCTTCATCCTGCGGCGGCTCGTTGACGTTACACATTAAAACCCGGCGCGATCGGTCCGCTCGGTTCGCCGCGCGTGTGTCTGGCGAGAGAGAGAGAGAGAGAGAGAGAGGGAGGGAGGCGGGGAGGAGGAGGGTGAGGAGAGAAGGCAACTTCAGCCCGCCGAACTGACCGCTTCTTGCTCGCGCCCGCGAAGGAACCGGACGAGAGGAGCGTCGCGCGCGTTTCTCTATCTCCCCGACGCGATGCCGAGTGGACGCGCGCGAGACAGCGACCGCCGACGTCAGGCACGACCGTGAGAAATTCACCGCGACGTGTGCTGAGAGCACCGCGGAGCGCGGTACAGTATATGCGGGAGCCGCGCCGGGCCGCGCATGCGCGCCGCCGCTCGATCGCGGTGCGGCACGGGAGTCGACGTAACGGGGCGGGGGGGGGGGGAGGAGCGAGCGGTCGCGCGCGCGAACATTTGATTCTTACCGCGGCGAGCGCCGATCCGCACGCTCGCAATCGCGACGGAGATACGCGCGCTCGCGTGCGACTCGCGTCCGAATACTTTAACGCGCCCGAGAGTTTTTCAAACACTCCGCCGCGACGGCGATCCAGGTTCCGGCGTCGTGGACGCAGGCCTCAGCTCCGGTTACCCCTGGTCCACAATCTTGCTTTAAGTAAGTTGTAAGCCTTAAGCCGTAAGAAATTAACCAATCGCAGGCATTTATTCCCCTCACTCTCACCTGTGATTGGTTAATTTCTTACGGCTTAAGGCTTACAACTTACTTAAAGCAAGATTGTGGACCAGGGGTTAGAGACCCTGGGCGTTTATAATACGAAGAAGCACTCGGAGTTGGGTTTGGGTCGGACATGCGTACGCCTCTCAATGATTCATGTAATTCATGTTTCGCCCGAATTGTCTCTAATAGCGGCCCGGGTAAAGGCCTTCACACATAAAATTCCGCAAGGACGTAAAACGTAAGCATAAGAAAATCGACCAATCACAGTCGAGAACGTAAGGCAATGACGCAAGCAGTAGCAAATCCAACCTGTTGATTTTCTTACGCTTACGTTTTACGTCCTTACGGAATTTTATGTGTGAAGGCCTTAACTCCGGGTCTGGGCAGACTGGTTCAAATTGGTTTCCTGCGTAAAGCCCTGTGTCCACGATCCAAGAACTGTGTCCAAGTTCTAGTTTCGAGAAATGCGTAGCCAATCAGCTTGCAGCTATTCCATACAAGCTGCATGTTGATTGGCTGCGCATTTCTCGAAACTAGAGCTTTGACACAGTTCTTGGATCGTGGACACAAGGCTTAAGGAAATGCGTGAGGTAATATTATCTAACCCTGGCTGAGGTAATACTTTTTGCAATAAATTTTCTGTATTATTAAAATTGCCAGATACGAATAAATATCACTGATGTTTATAAAACATTGTCTTAAGGCTGTCTTAAGAGTATAAAGGCCAATGTCC